CTCACATCCTCATACTTTTAAGCTATCAACTCTCTTTAAATCTCCATTGCTAACTTAAGCATCGGAGTGCACACACTGGGTAAAGCATCTCAGAATCTTCTTGCCTTATAGTTTGACTCGGCCACGGAGCTAGTTCGATGTCCGAACTATCTTCCAGCAAGGAGCGACTAGATCGTGCATCATCAATATTCATGTTGCTTTTACTAATTGGATGGTAAGGCCAACAACTTGAACCACTAGCGGGGCTCTCCTATATGACAACTTAGAGGTTTTTTATTAGTCTAAATTCATGTTACTTTTATTCTCATTTGTTTTTGAAATTGTCATGTCAGCAAAAAAAAAAAAATCCAAAAATATGTTTTTGAACTTTAGGTTGTGTTTGTTTGTGGTGTAAATATTGAACCAGAGGAGTTTTACTCTTTAGTTTGGTTTTATAGCTGTTTGGACAAAATGCAAATTATCACCAAAAATCGATGTAAAACTCCTTGCAAATCGAGTTTTACATCGATAATTGAGGGAAATTTCGCACATATAAAAATGATTAAATATTTACATCGATAAGCGCCTTTTTAAACCAATGAGTGCAAAACTCCAACGGTGCAGAACTCCTCCGGTCCTGTATTTACACTACATTCAAACATAGACTTATTTTTAATTTGGGCAAATTTCTTAAACTATCCCTATTGTTTAGCTAATTGACAAACTGTACCCTTACTGTTTAACTATTGTCTTAAACCACACCAATAAATCGTAACGAAAAGGATAAAATGTCCCTTTTTCCGTTGGTCTCTTCCTCATTTAACCTAATTCAAAACATGCTTTTGGTTTCCGTATAGAAAACACACATACAATCAAAAACATGTTTTTTTTTTTGTGTGATTGTGTCTGTATTTTTCTTTTGAAAAACAATTTATTTTCAATTCCGAATGCATTGCTTGGTGAATGAACGTATCATGCCAAGAGAGCCCACAGCTACAGCCCATGCTGATGAATCAAGACGAGGCAAAGTTCTCGCAAAACACAGAGAAAGATCAAGTTCTTGGGCTTCATGGAATTTCCAATTCCATCTTATGCTACCTTGCGGCCGGAGTATTATGGGATTGGGTTCACTGTTTCGGCTGGTACAGAGCTTTAGCTTAGTCGGGCTTTAGAGGCCTTAACCAACGGGGTTTAAATAAGAGAACACAAAATGAAGAAATTTAACTGCTTGCTCGTTGGAAGTTTTAACAAATGTTCAATCCACGCCAACCCAAATTGGATTTTGGTCATCAAAAATCCAAATTCCAAACCCTGCCCCGGAGAGTGATGGTGATCCACTCCAACCCCATACCAAATGAGATCCATACTTCCATCAAGGTAATACCTTGCTTACCCAGGAAACAAGGTGCCATGACTTAGTAAGCTTGAGTACCCTGTACTCAGCTTCCAATTATATTGAAACATTTCCAAGAGATGCGTACTGTGCCTCCAATCAAGAACCTTAAGAGGTCTGAGGCAGTTACCATAAAAGCTGGTATTTTGCCATGAAGTGGGTATATATGGTAAGCCCAAAAGCATATTGAGGGTCTGTTTGGTTTACAGTTATAATTGGAATTGGAATCAGAATTGAAATGGTCTATTTCCCTAACTTTTGTGGTACAGATTAGAATCTCAATCAGAATTTGCTGGAATGGATTTTAATTCTCAGGAGAGGGGAAAGGAATGAATATTCCCTCAAATAAGAAAATTCCATTCCACCATAGAATTTTAGTTCCAGCCAATCAAACAGTTAGAATCGAAATGAACCATTCCTATTTTGATTCCAAATCCCCATTCTACAAACCAAATCAAATGAGCATTGAGGTGCAATTGTGTAAGCATCACCTGGGCTTTAACGGTAGCGGCGAAATCTATTGATATTTTTATACTTTGGCTGGGGTTGGGGAAAAGAAGTAGGCAACGCTGGAATGGTTAGCGTGTTCTCATGTGCATATACTTGTCCATTGTAAATCCTGAAGCCAGTCACTATCAGGTAAAGGAACGACGAACTGGCGTCCGCAAGAGACAAATACATACATGCGAGGGCCGATGGGAAACTATCGTGAAGGGAAAAGTGGTGGAAACTTTGGCACCTACAGCCATCTTTGAACGTCGATGGATAAATTTCTTGTGTTTTTCTCTATATTTTGTTTTCTATCGAGTCAAATCATACATAATTTTATCCCACCAGATCTAGGAACTTTGATTTTACAGGTTCATCATTCATTGATGACGGTCGTTGTCCCCTTGTCGAGCCACGTTTTTATCAATCACTTCCTTGGCTATTTGGAGAGTTCTTTTTAACATCTGAAGAAGTAGAAATTTATCTGCGTGCGAGTTTAAAGAGAGTGAAGACTGATGACAGAAACTAAAAGGAAAACAGAAGAGACTCCGAGGGGGTTGTCAACTGTCAACATGAACCCATATCTATGAAAGTGGACATTGGGGAATGATTTCCCACAATCAACAAAAGAGATGACAGTGGAACCCATAGAACTGGGAGGAGGAGTATTAATTCCATTTAGGAATCAGGATAATTTCAAATTGATTCCAGACATGTTAGAGAACATGCCTTTAACAATTATGAACAATTCCAATTTCAAAACGTCAGGAATTCTAGTCAATGGATATATTAAGGGGAAAGAAGAAATAGAGCCATTTGTGGTGATTGCCCTCATCCACTCGAATCCAACCTAACCTTTATTCCAAAACTAATTAAACTAGGGGCCATGGGTCTGCATCCATTCCCCATAATTAACCCCTTAATCTTAGATGGCCAAATTAAGTGTGAGCTTAGAATTTCCCAAAAAATCCTCAAATTGGTAGTGTCTTCAACGAGATAGTAAGAAATAAAGAAATTTGATAAAGTTGTATTTTTATGTATGAATGTTTCACTTACCCCCTTTTAAGTTTGGTTTTAGTATTTTATTTCATAATTTTAGTTTTAAAACGCTACCAAATAAGAAAGCTTTAAATATATGCAACTGATTGGATGAACAACATTGAAGGAAGGGGCCCTAAACTTATTCAAGAACCGGAGAAGGTCCAATATCCACTTGAACGTGCCACCAGGAGAATTAATGCAAAGTGTCTATCAATTATAATTTATAAAATATAGTGCCACTGTGTTAGGTTCTTAAAATATAATCAAAATTATAACGTGTCAAGAGTTAAGTCATTTCCAAGAGAAAACTCAGATCGCTGTTAATCCTTCCAGCATTTACATACTACAGTAAGATTTTTTTTTTCTCTATTTCCATCCTGCCATTTTGGTGTTTTTTTTTTTTTGACTTTTTAGCCATTATAAAAATGTGTTTGGAGAAAGTATGCCACAGTTACTGAATATAGTTTTCTTCATTCATTTCACTCTTTTTTTTTTTTTTTTTAGCTTCATGGGCTACACAACAGGAGGTAGCCCATCCCCTTTCCCTTAACACAAACCCCCCAACCCCTGGTGGCAGCGGGATTTGATCCCAGGTCTCTACTCCGATGAAACCCTTTATCATTAAATTGAAACCCTTGAAAGAGGCTTAGAAAAACTGAGAACTGAGAAGAGGAGGCAGTTTGAGAATTGAGAACCTACCTAAGGCTATGTTTGGTAGAACTTGGGGAAAAGAAAACGACGTGAGCATCACATTCCCCTAGTTTGTTCTTCTAACATTTTCAAGGACCAGGGCAACCGAAGCAGGAATCAAGGTTTAAGATCAAACAGAAGGGATAAGAAATGAAACCGACAGACACAAGGAAAGAAGTGGGAGTGGGAGTGGGAGTGGGAGTGGAAGTCTTGGGTTCAGCCCAGTTAGGTGTGGGCCCCTACAACCGCGTAAGGCGTAACGTACTCGATGTAATGTAATACCGTGGAATCAAAGGCTTGGTGGGCCCCTTACATTGTTTCCCATCTAGTTCCTTTGCTTGCACACCTCACCTACATCCTAATTTCTACATAGCCCAGATATCTGACACATATACACATATTCTCATCTAATTTATTAATTATCAAAATTCAAAAATCAAAAATCAAACAAAATCCTTTTTGGTTTTGGCCACAAACGATAATGATAATTGATAACAACAACAACATCAACGAACTCATTAACCCGCGTATTCACATTCAGTCATTCACACAAGAAGATCACAGAACTACATCTACACCCACCCGTACACACCCCCCGCAATAAACCGTTGATGATTAATCGTACGGTTGTTATAATTTCCCTCCTACCAAAAAGAAACAAGGGCTAAGAAAATCACAGAGAACCTTGGGAAGGCTTCCCACCCATCTTACCTGCTTCCTGACTCACCACAGCAGGAGTTGCTGCTCCTCCCTGTCTAACATCGATGCGTGCAGCCGTCACTGTCTGATAATTGGGTACCATTCCCGGCGCCGTTGTTGTATAATACACTTGCCTCCCCGCGCTATCATACGCCACTTGCGCATACCCTGCTTCCGCCATTGCCGCTGCTCCTGCTGCTGGCCTTACTATCCCTACCCCGCCTTCCTTGTACATTCCCACTTTCGCTGGCTGAGCTGCCGGTGGCCCCACACTATAAACTTGTGGTTCTCTGTAAACATCCTGTAACACCCTCGGCATCGCGTAGTAACCCTGTCCTACCTGACCCGCTATCGGGTGTGCGGCTGGCGCATGATATACACCGGCCGGCGTTGGAATCAGATACACCGGATGTTCTCCTGTCACAGTTGTCGGCTGGTAAGGTGCTGTTGTCATGTGCCTCTCTGGCCAATATGATGCCGGATGTGGTACTGTCACCGGAACAGGTGATGGCACCGGAGCTGTTTTCTCAGGAATCTTCTGCACGTACAACTCCCCAGGAAAAGCTTTAGCCAAGTTCTCCTCGCTTTGCTTCTGGTATACGTTTTGCTCCTGCTCGGCGATCTGCAGTCTCTTCAACTCTTGGATCTGTCTCTGGATCTCGATTGAGGGAGCAATAGGTTCGGCTGCCATACGCCGATCATATCTGCAGGAGTCCGTTCCGATCGGAATTTCTGGTGCCGGTACTTCCGGAAGATCCGGTTCTGGTATCGTTGGTTTTGCCGCAGGCGGCGGTTGCGGTTGAATCGCTGATCCTTTATCCAAACCGAAGAGGAAGTCAGGATTATTCTGTATTGAAGGCGCCGGCGGAGAAGATGCATCTAGAGACTGGATGGGGACGTTATTCAGAGCGTCGACAAACCACTCGCTATCAGTTTTAGGTTCATTGGAAGCGAAGGCATTCTGGGGGGAGGGGTTGTGAGGGAAGAGAAAGAGACGAAGCCTGGCAGGCTTAGCAGAGGCGCGATGGAGACGGTCGTATTCGAGCATCATATGCTCAAGATCCTCGTCATTGGTCACGGAGATAAGAGCGTCGAGATCTTCACCGGGCAACTGGTACTTGAACAAGGAAAGTTCGACATCGGAGGCGCAGAGCGATGAGAGCTTAGAAATGAGAGCGGAAAATCGGATGCCGCGATCAACGGATAAGATCTTGGTGTCGCCGCCGATATAAGCAAGTTGGTTGTCGTGTGGACGAGGCTGAATCTTACCGCCATAGCTGCACATGAATCTGATTTTATAGTTTGGAAGGTCCTCCCATAGGGGATTTTCGGAGTCGATCTCTCGTGATCGTGGAGAGGAATTACTGGAATCAGGATAGGAGTAAGAGTAGTTCTCCATTGGGTGGGGTGGACTTTCCCTACGATATTGTTTTGTGGAGAATTGAATTTTCTTCACTCCATCCAGACTCAGGGAAGAACAACAAATGAGAAAAGGATGATTATTTACATGTATTATTATAGGTAGAGTCGTAGAGATAGATAGGTGTGTTGGATTCTCGACGAGACGGAGAGGGGAGTTGTAACGTAATGAATGGTCTTATTATTGTTGTGACTTGTGCGGGATGGTGGGCCCGCATCATTGATTGCGTTAGACAATTCTTAATAAAGAAAATTGTCTAAAATTCACCATCAGTTGTGAGCATTTCTCTTTGTCTAAAATTCGATGCTAAACTGAATATTAATATATTATCATTTTAATATTTAAACATGAAAAATGAAAAGGTTCAAAAAAATATTTTCAAATATAATATATATAAAAATATAAAAAAATTATAGAAATTACAAATAAAATAAAAAATTGTTTTCAAATTTAGAAATTATGGAAATTGAAAAACAAAATAAAAAAATAAAAATTGTAGAAAACATAAAAAAATTATAGATTATGGAAAATAGAAAAATGTAAAAAAAAATAGAAATTATAAAAAACATTAAAAATGTAAAAAAAATCAAGAAAATTGAAAACTGAAAAAGACTATTTTTCCTCTAACTCACCATTTAAGGGTAATGTGGTCATGAAAATTGTTATTTATGCTGACATGGACACCTCTTTTAAGAAACATTAACGTGCACCAATGGAAGGTGAGTTTTGAAAAATAAAAACTTTCTCATATGGTGAGTTTTAGACATTTTAAAAACTTGTGGTGAATTTAAAAGAAATGTTGAAAATTCATGGTGTGTTTTAGACAATTTCCCTTAAAATAATAAGGTAAAATACAAAAACCTCCTTAAAATTTCTGACAATTAAAAAATGTTTCCTATAATTTCATTTCAATAAAAATCTCCCTTGAATTTTTAAATAAATAAAAAACCTCCCTTCCGTGATCACCAAGATGGAAAACGTTCAATTAAGAGTCAATTTTTTTTTCAAATACCTATTTTACCCTTTTATAAATTAGTTTACATCTATTTTTATTAAAATACCCCTTCAACCTCTTTACCCAACCTTTTTTTTCTATCCCGCTTTATCCAGTCTTATAGTTTCTCTTACTGTGCTTTCATTTTATTTACAAGCAAAGCAAATAGAGCTGCTTAAAGGCCAAGTTCTCGGTAAAGAAAAGGAAGCAGTAACAATATTAGAGAAGATAAGAAAGAAAGCAAGCAAGAAAGAAAGAAACGCTTTTGATTCCAATTCCTGATATAATTAACATGAATTAGATGTTATTACAGTGCTTCCTTTTGGAGTAAAATAGGTATTTAAAAAAATTTGATTCTTTGGTCTAATATTTTCTGTCTTGACGATTGACAGAAGATAGGCTTTTGTTAGTTTATTTAAAAATTTTTGCTAAAATGAAAATATAGAGAAAGTTTTTATAATTGTTAAAAACTTCAAGGGAGCGTGGAAGCGAGTTATTTGACTAAAGAGATATTTGAGTGACGTGTCCGTTGGCGCGAGGACGAGGCATTTTGAGTCATTGAGAAAGGGACAGAGAGGGTGGATGTTGTTCGCCAGGGATGAGGGACCCGCACACAAATCACAAATCAGAATCAAATTAGCGATTAGACATTTGGACCCACCACCGGGTCAAGCCGAGTCATCTTAAACCATGTAATGTAAGTACATTGGACGGAGAATTGGCAGGTTGATAAGTGAAAGAGTAATAAGTGGGAAATGTAGGGCCAAAATAATGGCGTCAGCTTGTTTGGGTCCGACAAATACAGCATAATAAATACGAGTCCGGATCACCTGCAACAAAATACGTTCTAACTTGTAACTTTCAATCCTCTACCAGTAAAAATATCTCACACCGCACATCTCATGCATGACGGGGTGCGATGTTAGATTTTGTTGGCAGAGGATTGGAGGTATTTCGTTGGCAGAAGATCCTAACTCAATAAATACATGGCAGAAGAGAAGAGTGCCTTGCTGTGTGCTGTTGGTGTTGTGTCACATGAACAAAACGGGGCGAGGGTTTTAATTTATGTCGCCAACGCCAGTGAGTTGGTGAACAAACAGCAATATTTTAATTTTATGTGCAAAGCATAAAGTTGTGTATGAGCTGTTGTGTTGTGTTGTGTTCACTGGTAACAAAATTTTGGTTAGGGTTTCAATTGGTGTTATTGAATGAAACAAACGAATGAACAAACAATAAACATGGAGAGTGGAGCGGAAAACCGGTGGTGTTTTTCTCGGGAGTAGGAAGGGTGATACCTCCAGTCCTCCTCTCATACCTGTAGTCTGTACCGCTGTAGTGTAGTTGCCTAGTTGGGGGCACTGCAGTGAGACAAAGTAGGCTGGCTCACCGCTCGTGGTCTTTTCTTACCTTTTCTTGACTTCATTGAAATTTGCAACAGCCTTCACATTTGAAGATGGACTATGAACAACCTGGCAATCAACGCTTTATTGCTCGTTTTTCTTTGAGATAAGTGGACTGCAATCCACCTTTAATCTGTGATCAATTAATAGATAACCTTACCAGTTCTACCCATTCCTCAGTAGTCTCTATAATTAATGAACTTAAATTAACCACAATTATATACCAAAAATAATAATAAAAAAAAAGAATGAACCATAATTATAAAATTAGAATAGTTGGAAGATGTGGAATGGGTTGGACTTATGGAATAAATGATTTCCTACCGTGTGTCTTTTGGGAGTTAACAAGGGCCTCTCTGAATATTCAAGGTTTCGTATCCAAGATGAATTCTCAAAAAAGAAAAGATTGAGAATTCGCAAGTTTTGTTGACATATTGATCAGAGTCTGAGCTTATTTATTCTAGGAAAAAATCGAATTTGGCACTCAGAAAACCATCCTCACAGCCGTTTGCAGCCATGCATTAAGAATATCTATATAATTATATGTTTTTATTAATCATGAAAATATATTTCCAATGTGCAGCTGCTAGGGGCTGTGAGGACCAAATCTCAATTCTTGAAACAGTCCAAATTATTGTATTACCATTGACGTATTGACGTTGTCCATATTTTCTCTCTTTTTTTGTTTTGTCCATATATATTCCATCATATACCTTTGTGAAATAAAATCAATGAGATCAGATCAATAGAGATGGGAAATAGAAAATGAATGAAGGATAACATTTTGAAACTACAAAGATATCCCTTTTGTTTTATTAATTGGTGAAATATATAATGGCAATTGGGATTTAACGTCCTCCAAGTAGTAGGGAGGTGAGGTTCGCTTTCTCTCTATATAAGTTATTCTCTGAATATTTTATTTATTTTTATTATTTCGGAGATCAAAAGCAATCACATTTCTCTATCATTTATGTAGTAGACCCAAAGTTTTCTCTTTTTCTTTTATAAATATTAAATAGCTAGCATAGCTATAATAATAACAAAATCACATATTTGTTCTTTTCAGTCCTATGTAGTATGTTTTTATTGTGGCTGCATTTGGTTGCTAAAATGAATGATTTCCTTTGAAAACGATATTGAACAAAAAAACCAATTATATTCGTAACTTTTTAGATTATTGATTAACATGAAAAACAAACATTAAGACTATGCTTGGTTTGAAGGAAAAGTATTAAAACCTATACAAGTTTTCCTTGCCTTTCCTTTCTTTTCCTTACTTTTTCCTTCAAATCAAACATAAACTAAGAGTATATTTAAAGATTTTTTACCATCACCAAAATGCTTAAAGTAAATTGATGAACTTACAATTTATCTATAATTTTTGAGGACTTTAGCATGGATTTTTATGCCRGTTTTATTAATTTTTGCCTTAATTTAGCTTAATGCTAAGAATAAGTTTCAGGAATAATTAATCCAAGAAAAGGAAGGAAAAAGACAAGAAAAGAAGGTTCAAAAAGACCAATTTCAGTCCAGCCCGGTCGTGGAAGCAAGAGAGAGCACTTCGGCCCAAGAAGAGCAAGTGAATTCCTTGAGAAAACCCAAGAAAAGAAAGCCTAACTATGAGTAGAATTCGGCCCAGCAAGAAAGGTCCATTCTCAACCCAAAAGAACAGCTCAATGTATAGCTATCATGTGCTAAGAGAGAGCCTAAGTGCAGCCCAAATAGCAGCCCTTAGGAGGCTTTCAAGAGAGCTCTAGAAAGTTCAAGAAAGGGGTGTAATACACCCCATTCTAGAAGCTTCAAGAAGGGGCAAGAGCCCCCTTGAAAA